GGAGGTATTAGGGGACGGCATTTCAGTGTGATATCTTTTCTCAATAATTACTCTATGTTCCCACAATAGATGCTGTCATCACAGTGGTTGCAAAAGACATCTACAGGTCGTCTAGCCAATTCAATTCTGATGATCCGACAAGTTTCGTTGATTTTGAACCCTTGCCAGCCTAAATCGAACCCCGGTTCGCAGCAATAGCACGAGACATGACGCGAGCGAAACGGCCAGGTACATCCTGGTCTTGCTTCGCAGTCTCGATACCGGTGAGGATCTTCTTGATACCGACCCCAATTTCAGTGTTACCTGTCATCTCCTGTATCTCACTGATGGCACGCTGTTGATCGGAATCAGAGAAGGCACCGGATTCTTGCAGGACATTGGCGAGCTCTTTTTGTGTGTTCACGTTCGGGACTGCGATTTCGGCATCGAATCTGGCGAAGAGATCGAGCTGTGTGAGTACCGATCGTTCGGTTGTTGTCGCAAAAATAAGTAAGCGACGGTCCTAGGGCTGTTAGAGAATTTCAAAGATGGTGTGATACAGGGATTCTGCATACCTTTGGTGGCTCCTTGCCAAGCAGGACCTTCAAAGCAGCCAGAACCGTGTTACTGAACCTGGGACCAATTGGTACCCAATCCAACAAAAGCTCAATTGAGTCAATGACGATAACGCTCAATGGACTCTTGTATGCATCTCGGAACACCTTGTCGAGCTGCCCAACCTTTTGCATTTCACTGTAGCCAATCATGTCTTCAGCTGAAATCAACTTGATGAACGGGTAGCCTGAATCAATGGCCATTTTGGCAGCCAAAGCTGTCTTTCCAGAACCTGGTGGTCCGTGTAGTGCAACAGAGAGTAGCGGCGATGATTCTGGTTTCCTGACTTGATTGATATACAGGCGTCCGTCCTCCAGTATATCGTTGATGAATGACGAGTAGTGGATGATACCGTGTCGTAGTCGCTTGCTGAGTTCCTCTTCAGCGACACCGAAAAGCGGTTTGACGTCATCGAGTGCCGTCATGAAATCTTGTCGCATAACTTTGATGTCTTCCACGTCTGCCTTAACAGTGGTGCCGTCTTTGATATGTCGATTGGAGGCGTATGATGTGGCAGCCCTGACCAAACCATTGATTTCAGCACCAGAAAAGTTCTTCGTCAGCTTAGCCAACTCTTCGACATCGACATCGGGCGCAAGAACGTCGTTCTTGCGCATCTTCGCAGTGTGAATCTTGAGGATCTGGGCTCGACCAGACTCATCAGGCAGGGAAATCTCCAGATGCACCTCGAGACGACCGGGACGCAAGAGGGCCTCATCGATCATGTCCATGCGGTTCGTCATACCAATGAGTAGAATGTTGTGCAGCTGATCGACACCATCGAGCTTGGATAGCAGCTGGTTGACAACGCTGTCGCCAACGCCAGTACCGCTGCCCGCACCAGAACCTCTCTGCTTGCAGACAGCGTCAAGTTCGTCGAAGATGATGATATGAAGACCACTCTCATCGCCCTTCTCCTTTTGTTCTTTCTCTGCATCGGCGAACATTTTTCGGATGTTTTCTTCCGAAGCTCCGACGTACTTGTTTAGTACTTCAGGGCCGTTGATGACCTTGGGCTCCCGGGCGTTCAGCATCTTTCCGATTTGCCTAGCAATCAAAGTTTTACCAGTACCAGGGGGTCCATATAGAAGCATACCACGGACGTGATCGATACCCATTCTCTCGCGAATGCCCGGAGGCAGAATACGGGAGGCGAAAGCTCGTCGAAAGATGGCACCAAACTCCTTATCCAGGCCACCAATACCCATATCTTCGAACTTGAAACCTGGCTGGATGATGGAGTTTGCCGCTGCGCGACGCGCTGATGCTTTTAGTTTAATGTCTGTTCGAGCGTCCTTGAAGAAATCGACCTGAGTATGTCTGGTGAGGATTCCACGAGCACGCGGGTCGGTGAGGGAGGGCGCGTTCGTGTCGTCCTTCTCCATGGACAGATCCGCAAGTGTGACAGTTCGTATGGATAGCCTGAGTGGTATACTCTTGATATCCATCAAGAGTTGCTGGCCTGGCGCAAGAATCTGGTTCTCGAAACTCTTCTTGAGCATGGTAGCGAGCTCATCCTGGTCGTACGGCGTCTCGGTGGTCTTCCTCCCTGCAAATCCGACTTCGACGTCAACTGCGCCCAGGTATGACTTTCCGCCGCTCTGAGCAAAGTGGTCGTAAGGTGCTGCCATGACAACCTCCTGAGGCCCAAGTGATATACTAGCCCATGTTCGTTGTGCATCCGTGAGACCGATCTCGCCTGGGTTGCATCCTTGTGTAGGTCGAGCAGAGAGGGCGAAGTTTCCGTTGACGAGGATGTAGACATCGGAGCCGTCGGGGTTTGGTGGGAAGTCTTGAGGCGAGACTGCAACACTTTGAGGTGTTAGCAGAAGCGTTGGAATGAGGTGGTTGTGGACTGTACGTACATGTTACCAAAGGCATAGGCATTGCCTCCTGGGCTCTTGATGGGCCGTAACTGTCTTGCAGGCCCGGCCCCTCCACCGCCTCCTGGTGGACCCCTTGCAGGCATACGCTGTCCACCCGGAGGTGGAGCACCATAGGCTTGTGGTTGTCGGTCATCGTAGCCGCCCATTCTTGTGTCTTGTCCGCGCGGAGGCCCTTGTGGTGGTTGCTGTTGCGGTGGTCGTCCGTAACCGTCGTTGCGTGGTGCTGGCCGAGGGGAGCTTCCAGGAAGGCCTGGGAGTCGGTCGCGGTTGAACATGTTTGGCGGCTGGAAGTCGCTATCGAACTCGAGAATGTAGGGAGTGATGTATGCCACGTATGGTCTTGGAAGAGACAGAAGTAATGAGGCCTCACGAGGTCGCAAAGGTGTCTAGGCTGCAGTATGAGGACAAGTTTAGTCCGCTCTCGCTGCAATAACTATTCGACGATCTGTCCGGTCCAAATGCCGCCACTAAGCAAGCCAAAGCAGAAACAAGCGTGATACAACTTGACCGTCAGGGTCTGTGATGCCGCGTGGGGAGCTTCAGGAACGCGCTTGGACCAAGCCACAAGCCACACGTCATCCCCGCCGCTCCGCACCTGCCGCCACTGCCCAACGTCGCGTCTGGAAGCTGCATGTCATTTGACCCGAGGGATGGCCATACACACTGATTGCAATATCTCCATGATCCATGATGAAGATTCAGATCAATTATTGAAACGAGCCCTTGCTGTTGCTATGCAACAGCGTCTCCTGCGATGGAGGATGCGGGACGCTGCTAGTACCGTACCGCACAGCAACGGCGAGCGCCAAGTTGATACTGACCACATCATCATACGGACAAAACTGATGTTTGCCGCTCAATAGCCTTTCCCAACATGCACTACCTCGCCTCCGCCATACCACAAAGTACCTGTCCTGCAGTGCAGACCCGTTTCTTGTCCCACGTTGAACTCTCCACCGGTAGGTATCTTGCCCTCGTTGTGTTCGGGCCAATACTCTTTCTTGAGCCAAGCATTAATCTCTTCGATCTTGTCGATCAAAGCCTTTGTCTTATGACCATCAGGCGAGCCAGTCCCGTCTTCAAAGTCTTCGGTATGGATAAAGCGGCCAATAGTGAGATGGCTTGAGGGCACAACGTACCGGGACTCAACTTGAAGGCCTGCATCTCGGCACATGGAGAAGAGGTCCCGGCGGAGATGATGGTAAGTGAATTTATCATCCTCTGGTGTGCGACCCGAATGTAGGCCTTCGCTGGCTGCAGGTACAAAGCTCAATGCTATGGCTGAAGCGTCGTACCCGATGAGCGGTTTGATAAGGCGCGTGCGGTGGTCGTGGGTGAAGTCAGTTATGGCAGGTATCTTGTCTCGTACTCCATCTACTAGCTTCTGAATCTCTGGTGCCGTCTTCGAATGCGTTATTTCCAATGCCGTGATGTGGAGGTTGTCCCGTGGCATGAGCCAGAGATCTACTTATGTTAGGATTGAACTCTAACAACAACGACTTATTACGTACTAGGTGCCACCGTCAGCAGTTCCTGTTGTACTCGGTTGATCATGTCCTTGACTTGCTGTGTCGGTCTTCCCCAAAAGACCTGTTCGCGTACAAAGTCAGTTTCTGTCTCACACCCGGCTCGTACATCGGGGCTCTTACAAAGCAGTTGCGGGGGTCTTTGTATCCAGGCTCGACAGTGGTATCATGAACTCTTAATAGTATTGGATCTATGTTGACGCCTTGAAAGTCGGCATCGAGCATCTTCGCCTTCTGCTGCTGGTTCCTTGTGGTGCGATGCAGCTCATACTTTTCTTGAATCCGCGTCTGCAAAACGTGCTCAGTAAGTGCGAATACAGAATACAGAAGCAACTTACCGGATCGTCTTCGCATGCCGCAATCAGTGCATCGTAGGGATTGCTGAACGAGGAAGTCGAGACACCTGTGAGGTCCTCAAAAGTGTTGGCCACCTGATTAGACATGATGCTCCTTCGTTAACAGTCGTGAAGTAGGGAAAACCTGATAATTTGTATGTTTTTTTTTTGATGTTGCTGCAGAGGACGAGACAAGTACCATACCAAGGCCGTGGGAATACGAGCTGCGACTTCGCTGCATGGAATATCACCTTTCCCAACGTGGTAGCCTATCCGCTAGGACTACACGTACTCCAAATGGTCTCGTACGAGTCTTCTGTGTCTCTACTTGACAAATTGCCTATCCGATTCGTAGCCATCCTTCCTAGGGCATATCGCTTAATGGTAAAAGACAGCATGCGGGGTATATGCCGTGGTGGAGGCTAACACGTGCTTTCGCTCCACCAGCGCGGGACGCGTCGCGCTAGGTACCTGCCATGTCCAGGGCTACTACATGCCGCATGAAACTCGATGCACCCCACTTTGAATTGCATGCCTACGGCATGCTCAGCAACCTCGATATTACATAGCCCCATTTCTTATTGTCTCCATTTCTTATTGTCTCCATTTCTTATTGTCTCCATGCTGAATCTCCCGTCTCGCATCCACGTTCTCTCACCATGGCACACGAGAAGTCGCGTAAACGCAAGCGCGAGGCTGAACTCTCGCCTGCACGCAATGCGCCTGAGTGGGATGCCGACACCACTGAGATCGCTACACATCGCAAAAATACTCGGACAGGGCAGATTAAGTGCACTGCATTGACTGAGACTCAGACGCGAGGCAATCAAGTCCGCAACACACGCAGAGCCCGGCCTGTCAATGCCCGGTCTGTCAATGGTATGCCGATCATCTTGTCATCACCGCTTCAAGAGCTGACCCAACGTGGCTAGTTCAGTTCCTGCGCCCAACAATCCGACGTCACTCCCCGAGATAAACGACCCTCCCGATCTAGTCATTCCTCGAGACTGCTGCTACTTTTGCCTTACCCGCGGAGGTAATGCGGCATACGAATGTCGTAAGGAAGAAGGAGAAGATCTGTGTACGCGCTGTATACGGGACAGAAAGAAGAGCTGTCGACTGCCTACGCGTCAGGAATCGGCAGCAATCGCAGCTCGTTGTCCACGTTGTACAATTCGTGGTTTCAAAGCATGCAATGGAAGAGACCCTTGCGATACTTGTACGCGAAACAAAACCGAGCATCTTTGTCGCAAACTACCCGAGAAAAACAAGAAGCGGCCTGATAACCCACGCAGGCGAAGCACCATCACTCCACAATCTGAAGACGACACACCAGAGAAGCCCACCAATGGTCGAAAGACCAGGCATAGCAACTACGATGACGCACAGCCCACTACAGAAAATGTGTACGAAAAGCCCAAACGCAGCACTATACGCAGCGGCACGGCTAGATCGAAGCGCAGAAAGCCTTTTCCTGACAGCGAACCTGACGAGCATACTCAAGTTGCTGGCCCGAGGTCAAGTCCAGCAGGATCAAGTTTGCGCGAAAGCACGAGGACATCAGAGCAACTTGTAGACGCAAACGACCACACACAAGATGCCGACGATGGATTACCTTCGCGTATAACTTCGAATGATCTCAGATTAGGGGATGATCTCGAGCTTGACACATCATCTGGTGAGGATCTCCTAGTGGAGGAAGCCGATATTGATCAAAGCAAAGGCAGCGGCACATCGAGCCGTCATGTTGGCGGACGCTCCATCAGAGCTCGGCCAAGGGTATCTTACGTTGAGCAGTTCCCCGATGACCCGTCGGACCTCACAGCTGGAGATGAATCCGAGTCCGATGTTTACGTGTCCCCTGCAACGGATGAAGAGAGCGAAGCCGACATTGATCTTGTCTCTTCCGAAGACGAAAACGAAGACGAAGCATCAGTCATAAGCGACCCTGGGTCGCTAGACATCATGCTGGACGAAGAGAGCATCGCCATTGAGGGTGATAACCCCAAACCGAAACTACACAGACAGCACAAGCCTGGCGAATCTACTCGAGCCGGCAAAGGCATCGACCTAAACCTTCCGCCGCTTTCCAGCATCCAGGAATGCATGTCTGACATGACTACCAAAGCTGTGCAACTTGGTCTATGCGAAGCCTTGGAAAGTCTGGGAGAAAGACTTATCAGGGTTGCCACAATGTGTTCTGGCACAGAATCTCCTTTGCTTGCGCTTGACGAGATCTCGAAAGCTTTGGTGGCAATAGGTCATACTCCGATGCAGATCCAGCAAGAGTTCTGTGCCGAAATTGAAGTATTCAAGCAGGGCTACATAGAGAGAAACTTCGTCCCAAATCGGTTGTTCAGAGATGTCCGCGACTTCATTCGCGAGTCCGCCACCACGGCAGTAACAGCATATGGCGCCGAAGTGGATATCCCCACAGATGTGGACATCCTTATTGCGGGCTTCGTCTGCAAAGATCTTTCTAGGTTGAACACCAGGGGAAAGACACTGGATGATGGTGGCGAGTCAGGCGACACATTCCAGGGAATGTATGCATATACGGATCGCTTCCGCCCAAGCATAGTGTTGCTTGAGAACGTCAAGAACGAGAAGAAGACCTGGGATGACGTTGTGCGCAGATTCGACAAAATCGGATACGAAGCTCAGTGGATTTATTGTGACACGAAAAATTACTACCTACCTCAAACGAGAGAGCGCATGTATATGATTGCAATCGAGCGTACTCATTTCGGTAAAGGTGTCAAGAGCGCGACAAGCCAGTGGAAAGATTTGATGCGAAATTTGGAGAGGCAGTGCAGTAGCCCATACGAAGCGTTCCTCCCAGATTCACTGAAAGAATCAAGCGGTTACAGCTTATTGAAGAACGAGCCAGATTGGGCTCTATGCAAACTACGAAACGATCACATTCGCTCCGAGAAGAGGCTGGGAATACTAAGTCCCATCAGTCGACGCAGCGACAACGGTACCGTTCTGTAAGTTCATGTAATCCTGCTATCGTCAATGACACCCAGACTAACAGTTATACAGACCCCCTGACTTCGCGGACAGGAAGTTTTACATCTCGCAGTCCTCAAGAGTACACGATGCGATAGACATTGCTCATCTGGAAGCTGCAGCGAAAGGCTACGATTCTCTTTACAAGATGGCGTTGTGGGACGTCAGCCAGAACGTGGATCGGTTCAAAGCAGATTTGGGAATCACGCCGTGTATTACCCCAGGTGGACAAGATTTTGCGAGCAACCGGCAACATGCCCTCAACGGTAGCCAGCTTTTGATGCTTCAGGGGATGCCTCTTGATAGGTTGCTGTTTGCCAACGAAACCCAAAAGGACTTGCAGAATCTTGCCGGCAATGCCATGTCCACGACGGTGATCGGGGCCTCTCTTATCTCTGCTCTCATTGTTGGATGCAAAGCCCTCCGCCCCTATCAGGCAAAGTCAGGTGGCAAAACATTATCTGCTCCACCTGGCAGTAACATGATCACAGAGCCTAGCATGCTGAAGCGTACTTTCGTTCAGCCTAGCACTTTCGAGGATCTCAACCTTGTCAAGCTCCAGCAAGAAGCCAAGTCGAGTGCGCGTATGTGTAATTGCGAAGGCAAACAGGCCATAAGCAAGTCCGCAATTCAGATCTGCTCAGCGTGCGGACACTCGGCCTGCTCATCATGCGCGGGTAACCCCAAGCACGTCTACAGGACAATCGTACCAGCCAATCACAGGATAACGCTACCCGACGAATTCATCAGGCAATGGAGGCAACTTATGCCTTCACGGTTGAAGTTCGATGTTTTTCCTGACATCAGTCATCTGGCTTCCGAGCTAGGCGCGAAGGACCCAATACTAGATGGGTATCTGGCTACTGTTTCGGAAGCGCAGCTGGGCTCTCAGTATTTCTGCATCGGCGACTTCTCCAGAGACTACAATCAGTGGAAGATCACCTACAGCTCGCACCAGGCTACAGTTGAGCTAGTGGTGGGTGACCATATACAGTGGTCCTTATTTGTCAAATGTCCAACACATCTTCCTGGCAACAGTACCTTGCGGAAATTTCTCAGTAATCCGATCGCGCAAGCTACCGTTGCAGATACACTTCTCAACGTTGAATGGAGAGTGCGCATACCCTCTACCAAGGATCTCGTCGTTGATATGAGCGATTCGTCTGAGAAGATTAGCTCATGCAGGAGCAGACTTGGCCTCTCAGACTACAAAGAAGAAACCGTGCCAAAGAGAATCAAGGTCAAAAGCGACAGTCTTACGGCCATTGTCGGCGATTATGAGCACCTACCACATTGCGGGACTGCTTTTACAAGTTTATACAAGCGATCAATGGCAGTGAACGACATGTACATGTTTCTCGATCCCGACCCTATTGGCCGGCCAGAGCACGACAGCTTCGTGTTCAGTCGCGACCATACCCGGAAACACTATGGTGAGAGCCGTAGTTCACTTGCTCGCTTACATCCATCATGGCGACCATGACATATGGAGGACGGGCGTGTACACGCCATCACAACCACATCTCTTGACGTTTGGGCTCCTGTTGCGATGACACTAGTACCAGTGGCTGTATCTTTGCACGCGGATTTTCTTGAAGAAGGACGTCTAGTTGACAGTGTTGTGCCAGATTGCTCACAAACGCTTACCTGTTTAGACGTCTTTCTCCACAATGAACTGTCCGTCCAAACTTTCGCAGACTACTCGTGGGCATTGGAGAGTGCCAAGACGCTGCCGCAATGCCTATCTTGGCAAGCAGTGCACTCGGACTGGCAGGGCAAGTGCTCTTGCGCGCCAATCTATCCAGAGATACTTTGGAGCGTCGAAAACGGTGTAGCGACGGCACACGAGGATCGTCGAGTCGCTGCCACATTCGAACGTGCCATCAAGCAACGCCCTGCCATAGTCCAACTAGAGGCTTCAAGTGATGCATCAGGAACACGAATTCGAGTGAGCGTCGATATCATGTCTTTGGTCCATCGTGCTCAAGGGAGACTTCCCGAGGTGGACTCTGCAACCACTTCCTGGAGGCTAATCACGGATCACGCTGATTTACCTTCGCAACCATTTCCGAAGTTCCGGTTGCAAAGCAATTCGAGCGACATTCGTGATGCCCTGTTTAAGCTACCAGGGTACCTACGTGGTGCACAGAAGAAGTCTGTTGCATGGATGGCAGAGCAAGAGATAGGAAGACCAATAACTATCTGTGAGACAGAAGAGTCTGTTTTTCCAGGTTTGGGTTGGAGAGCAGAAGCTCAGGTCAAGACAGAGAAGATCGTTCGAGGTGGTGTGTTGGCCGATCAACCTTCCTTCGGCAAGACTGTTTCGAGTATAGGACTAATCCAGAGTGAATTCCATCAGGTCACACCTGAGGAACTCATCAAGTGCAACCAACCCTTAGCAGCTGAACAACCCCAACGTTTAGACTCCGCTGCGACGTTAGTCGTTTGTCCCCCACATATCACTCATCAATGGAGCACAGAGCTTCAAGAATTCCTAGGTTCAGAGGAATTCGACGACTACAACGTCCTTATCATAGAGAACTACAGTCAGCTGAAGAGTTTTACCATCGAAGATTTCCTACAAAGCAGGATTATCATCGTTTCTTGGACACTATTCTCTGAAGAAGGTTACATTTCGGAACTGGCAAAATTCACGGCCTTGCCTGAGCCTCTCAAGACCAGTCGCCGTGCATTCAGTTGCTGGCTGGATAACGCAGTCAGCGAGATCCCAAGTCAGTTAGCGGTGTACCAGCGCTATGACTATAAGCATTTCAAACGGCTGACGGAGCAATTCCTGGACGAGCGGCTACTGAAGCCTGAATTCCAAGCGACACTACCTGTTAAGATTCTCCATGGTGCTGCGTATGAGTCGTTCGGCACTCAGCTGCCGTCACGACCTTCAAAAAGAGTCAAGACGAAAGCCAAATTTGAAGCAGATAGCTCGTCAAACTTGGCGCCACTGTTGCATCTCTTTCAGTTCAACCGGATCATCGTTGATGAGTACCATTACCTTAACGACAACGACAAGATTGGGAGTAACTTTGTGGCCACGAGCATCAAGAAGATAGCTGCACACAAACGCTGGTGCCTCTCAGGAACACCAGCCTTGGCCAACTTCTCTGATGTCAATCAATTGGCGTCCTTTCTTGGTGTCAAACTTGGTCGATATTTCTGTGGCGACGGCACCGTCACGACTTCGGCGGAAAAGACATCGAGACTGGATCAGACAGATGTTGAGAGCTTCTTGTCGCAAACCGAAGTCATGTCACGACAGTGGCATGAAGGCAGGCATCAACGCGCACAAGAGTTTCTTGATAACTTCGTGAGACAGAATGAAGCCGAGCTCCGCCATATCCAATGCTCAGAAAAGCTCTTGTCGGTAGATCTAGATGTCGCTCACCACGCGCTCTATCTGGAGCTTTCGCAATACCTCATCTCCCAGAAGATGCAAATCAAGAAGCTCAACCAGAAGTCAGGCTCAGACAGGAGCAGCAGACTGAATGACAGCCTAGAGGGCTCTGCAAGTGCTGAAGAAGCACTGCTAAGGTGTGCGTTGCTCTTTGAGACCGAAGAGGGTAGGTCAGCGCTCGAAGTCTTGATTGAGAAGCGCTCGCGTCAGCTCCGCAGCACTGAGAAAGAACTGTTGAGACTGCTATCTGAGTTTGAGGGCTCAATGAAACTGATTTCAAACACTGAATCGGGCATCAAGGAGCTGTATGGCCATTACAGGAAGGACGTCACGCAGTATAATTGGCTTGGAGATGATGAATCCAGCCAACGTGTTCGCGCGATGTTGAAAACAGCCCAGAAGACGCCACGGAGAGATACTACTGCAATTGAAGAGACATCGAAGATTCAACGCGAGCGAACGATTAAACAACAGCTCTCGCAACTCCGCGACATTTCTCTTGAACTCGCGCATAGGACAAGATCGAAACGATTTGTCGTATCTATCCGTGATCATCTACAACTTGCAACTCTTGACAAGATTCGGCCTCTTCGCTGCAGTTCTTCTAGTTGCAAAGGCACTGTCGACCTTCAACTGCTCTTCTCTATACCCCACTGCGGACATACTGCATGCAAAGAGTGTCTTGAACTACGGACTGATGACGAGACCTGCGTTCATCTTGGCTGCAATTCTCATGCGAGCGAGGGCAACCTGATCCGGATAGCCGATCTCGGTTCGAACGAAAGTGAGGATACTGGGCAAGGCTATGGAAATAAACTCGAGGCTGTGGTTCAAATTGTTCGTCGAATGCCGGCTTTCGACCAGGGCATTATCTTTGTGCCGAACGAAGAGATCGTCAGCATTCTCGAAACTGTGTTCGATCGCTACGACATATCATACCATTCGCCAGGTCGAGGTCGACACACTGCTTCGGCTAAGCTCATGGAGGAGTTTAAAACAAACAAAGATCCAAAGACTAGAAAGAAGCTTATCATACTCAATCTTAGGAGTGAATCTGCAGCTGGCGTGTAGGTCCTCTTTATTCCTATAGAAACTCTCCTCTTACTGACCATTCACAGCAATCTTACAATCGCCAACCACGTCGTCTTTGTGTCACCCTTTCTAGCAAAGACACAATATAATTACGATTCCGCAATGGCACAGGCGATCGCGCGAAGTCGCCGTTATGGCCAGAAAAAGAAAGTGCACATTTACCATGTGGTTGCGCTACGGACGATCGATGTTGATATTCTTGAGCATCGCCTCAGACGGAGTGATGCCCTCACTTCCACAGGTTCTACGGCCAAGTCGTTAGAATCATTATCTACGAAGAAAGAAAAAACACGACTGGCCAGGAATAACAAGGGCGAGATCATGCTAATACCACATACGTGGTTAGCTGACAGGGCCAAGCGAGAGATCCTGGGTATTGAGGAGTCACCGGATAGGCTCACGTCCCTGATCAACTTCTCTGAGACATTTGAGCAGGAAGACGACGAGTCCTAACGCAGGCATACAGCAGGCTTTTCGACTGCGATTCACCTTTCAATTTCGTCATCAATCATTCCCGCATTCTGCTTTCATGTTATATACCTTATCGATGTCTTGGTCTCGTGTACGATTACTGTTTTCCGCATAGTCAAAGCGCAAAGTGTAGTCAGCATGATACCGGCAGTCGGGCACAATGCATCTTTGTCTATTACAACCACACTCGTACTGTCATCGTGATGTATTCGAGACGAGCACAATTGACATTCCGGCACTATTAACTACCTAATCTGGCATGTTGCATACGAACTAGATTAGTATCTCAGCCCCAGCCCACTCTGCTTAGGCATAAGCACCACTACCAACCCCCACCAGGGCTCACCGGTAATTCCACCCATCATCATCACCATTACCAGCTCTCCGGCCAATTCAACACCACATACCCCTCTCGAACCACTGCCAAGCCAGGTCGGCTCCACATGCCGCACTTTGCTGAACGGTGAAGAAACGGTACAAAGGTACTTAAGCGCCCCGCGTTAACCGTGTTTCTAGTTAGCAGATGCCCGAATAGGATATTGCTTCTTTGAATGGATGATGGGTGTATTTGACCGATCAGGGCAATGCTGGGTTACAGCTTTCCATGGTTTTCGAAGAGAGTTACTTGGATGGGAAGGTTGGAGTGGGTATAATTCGTAGGTGACCCAAGGGTTGAGAGATATGCAGCTATAGCGTGGTTCAGGGAGACGGCGCAGGCGACATGGATGGGTAGGATGTGATTTCGTGGTTCATCTGTTTCATTGGTGGCATGGAGGATACAGGGTGTCGCATGTGCTATAGCATTCCGGGTTGTCAGTTCACGAGCTCTAGTCGCCCTAGGGTACTGCACTTGGCCAAGCTGAAGACTTTGAACTTTGATTCGCGCGTCCTCGCCTCTCCTCTCAGATAGTACAAAAGTGATGTGTCAAAAACCAAGTCCTTTTCCATCGCCAAACGCCTCGCCGAATGCTACATCAGTCTCGATGCCTGCTCCAATCTGAGTGCCTATGCACGGTTGGAGGAATTACGCATGCGCGCTTTAGCTTGCACGGTACGCTGTACGCAAACAATGCTCTCCTGTTGCACTGCATCTTGTCCATGCCCCGAATGCTTATATGACCCATCGGTAACTGGCGTATCGACCGGCTGTCTCAGATTTTCGGATAATCTTGACGACAGAGCCTCTCCTCAGGCCTAGGTACTTGGCGACCGGGTCGGTGGACTGGATTCTGGGCAGCTGTGTCTGCTTCAAACGGTATCGCTGGAGCAGTTGCTGCTTCTCCTCGTCGCTCAGCAGGACGTGCTTAGGCACCAACTCGTGCTTTGTGATGTTGACGAGCAAATCTTGCTCAACAAAGACCTCTACACCGCCCTTGGGACCATCGGTGATGCTTGTCGCGCCGCGCAGGAGTCGAATGGCCATACCCGTCATGGGCTTTACGGTGACCATGATGCCGGAGTGGAAGGATCCGTTGACAAGATGGGACATGTAGTCGCGCAGTTGCTTCATTCCGACGTTCTCGTCTGCGTTGAACTCGATCCAGATGGTACCGATATTGGGCTGGGGGTTCGGGTTCTTCTTTGTCGGGGCGTCGGTGTACTTTGCGAGCATATCTTCGGAGGGCTGGCAGGAGAAGTTGAGGCGCGAGCGGCTGGTAAAAGGTCAGTACTAGGGCCTAGAGATGGGCATGGTTTGGCGCATACTCAGGCTCGCCGTCCTCGCGCGCATATTTCCTGGCGAACTCTTCGAGCGACATGGTCATGTCGTCTTCGACAATCATGTAGCCCTTTGTGTACAGTCAGCGCGCAGTCCATGGTGTTCCAAAGCGCATGCGCAACCCACCCGGTCGTTCATCATCTCCTTGGTTGTCCGCCAGACCCTCCACAGGCGAATAAGAGACGCGCCGTACTTTTCGCCTTCCATGTTTGCCGTCGCTAACGTTGATTGTGGAGTAAGGGTGTAGGGTTGGGGTGTCGGCGCAACAGGTGAGTGAAGTCGGTCGCGTCAAAGAAATCTCCAGAAGTCCCAAAGGGCAGGCCGGGCGTCGGCTTGGCATGCAGCGCTAGCGCGGAACCTGGAGCTGGACCCCCACCAATTCCGCCCATCTCGAACCTGAACATGGCCTCTTCAAACGAAATCCCCAACCTACGAACACTTCTCGGACAAGGCCGTGGCGGATCATCACGAGGTAGAGGACGTGGAAGAGGCGGTCTTGGTACTTCTGGCGAGGGACGGGCACAACTTCTCGACAATGCCGTCAAGGCTACGGATCAAGATGCGGCGGGGAGCAGGGTGAGCTGTGTAGAGCTTGGTTATCTTCACGACCCGTATGCGAAGCTGTTCGCGATACAGCAGACGACAAGGAAACTGCCGTTGCTCAACCGGGGCACTTATGTTCGCACCTCGGCCATCGACCTCTTAGTCGCCAAGTTCCTCACTACCCACCCGTCGTCGGCGAAGCAGATTGTCTCCCTCGGTGCTGGCACTGACACGCGATTCTTCCGCCTTCTCGACCTATACCCGCAGACGCGCCTCGTATACCATGAGATCGACTTTCCTACCAACACACAGGCCAAGATAGCCGCCATACAGAGGCAACCGCTACTGCATCGGAAGCTCTTACACATGCCGTCAACTTTGGACTCGTACTATTCGGATGCGTACAACATTCATGCGCTTGATTTACGGTCTCTCGCAAGTTCGTCAGAAGAGGCGCCCCTACCTCAGATACCAAATCTGGACCCGAGCATACCTACATTGATTCTGTCCGAGATGTGCCTGGTTTACCTGCAGCCTTCGACAGTAAAATCGATAGTGTCATCATTATTGACACATTACCTACTCCCTGCAACGCCCGCCTCTCTCATACTCTACGAGCCTATCCTACCCCAAGATGGCTTTGGTCGGACCATGATCTCGAACCTCCAAAGCCGAAACATCCACCTACACACATTGACGGCGTATCCCGAGTTGGGGGACCAACGCGCACGCTTGCAGGGCTATGGCTTAACAGACGGAGCCAAGGTCGCAGATACAAACACTATCTGGCGAAGATGGATTAGCGATGAGGAGAAGGAGCGCATCGCTAGTTTGGAATTCCTAGATGAGCTGGAGGAACTGGAAATGTTACTCCGGCATTACTGCGTCGCATGGGGCTGGAGAGACGGCGAAAGCGATGTCTTTTCGAAGGCTTGGGCAGATGTAAGGGAGTAGGGCTTGGTAGATCTTCACTTGAGATGCAGCCATGAGCATATTAATAATCACCCTGTCTCTGAGAACGAACAAGGAACCTATGTCTGTGGTATACCCAAGAGGTGTGACATGACCTGTGTAAAGTGAAAGCCACGTGCCTGCGCGCCGAATGCACCTCACACGCTAGGCCCAAGGCGGCTTTGTCCGGGCGGCGCCTTGAACCCCAGACACGATGCTTGCGACAACAAGAACAACATTTATTTACCCACCACTCGCCCGAACTTGGCACCACTGCTGGAAGGAGCAGAAATTACTCGACGATACACAATGGCATAGTCGCTGCCTCAGCGTACCGACAACGATTGCACACGCCCCTAACTCAGTCTCTCCATAACAAACAAAACAACAAGGAGTCGCTGCCACCATGGCAGTGCGCAACACCACACAGCCGTCCTTCAACTTCCTCACTGGCGAGGAAGAGGAGCCAACGCCTGCGCCTGCCACCGCCAAACGAGAACCTCTCCGCGAAACGTTCCGAACCACATTGCGAGCCTCGCAGAATGCGCCGCACACGGTTGTGCCCTCGGACCCCATCAATGAGGATCTCCGCGCCCAGCTCAATACCCTGCGATATGAGCTTGAAACGGCGAAACAGGAGAAGGAGATGATGAAGTTGGAACATGCGCAAGAACTCCGCGATGCCCAAAACCGTGCCGATGCCGACTTTCGTAAAGCGCAGCAAGTCGAGGCATCCAACACCCTTACCGCGAAGAAACACGATGCGCTGACCAAGGAAATGGCCGAGGTACAAACACGGGCTGCCAACGAGCGACAGGCGCTGGAGAGGCGATTGCGCGAGTGTCAAGAAAGAGCGCAATCGCTACAAGAAGAATATGATGAGGTTAAGGAGGAGTTGTCGACATCGCAGCGGCAGAATGAGCACCAATATAACACACTACAAACCGAACACAAGGCGCTCAAGGAGAGTGTCGAGGAGGTGCAGGCAGATCTACAAGCCAAGGTCAACGCTTTGCAGATGACACAGAAGAAGCTCGCGCAAAAGGAGGAGGAAGTCGATCAGATGGAGGCCGAGGTGTTGCGCCTCAAGGCAATTACAGGAGACGCCGAGACACTGGCAGTCATCAAGAGGGAGCTTTCTGACCAGGTCGCACACATCAAGAAGCTCGAGACCCTGACGAGGGAGCAGAATACCGAGCTTAAGCAGTATCGGAAACAACACAAGGCGATTGAGGTAGTCGAGGAGGAGAAGAGGTCACTACAGGCGAAGCTGCGCACGATGGATGACTTGGAACGGCAACTGGGAGAGGCCGAGCTGAGAAAGCAGGTTCTAGAAGAAGAGCGCCATTCGTGGACGTCGTACCTCGAGGCAGAAGCAGAAATACACGGCGAAGTGCTCTTTGAAACACCTCAAGACCTCGCACGAGCTTTCATCCAAGAGCGCATAGAAAGGACCGATCTCATCAACAAACTGGGCGAGATCAAGCCTGAGCTCATTGTCAAAGAGGCCAACATACAAGCACTCGAAGAGGAGAAGGCCAAATTACAGGCCGAGATTCAGCAACTCAAGGCAGCTGGAAACACTGCCGCAGGGAATGGTGCCGACGCAAAGGTACGGGCCAGGCTTGAACGACAGAAAGCGTTAGCAACTAAAGAAGTCGACTTCTTACGTGCCCAAGTCAAGGCTTTCGACGATGAAGAACGCGAGATGCAGCCTGACACATTCGACGCTGCAAAGTCTGAACGGATAAAGGAGCTCGAGGATCTCGTCGACCAATATCGCAAAGAGGTTGATACATTACAAAAAGAGTTCAACAGTTTAGAGAAGCCTGTTGCTGCCATAACAGGCCAAAAGCGCGCTCTTGATACGGATGAGAACGAGGAACGCGTAGGCGAGCTGCGCCGAAAGAACCGCCAATTACAAGATGACCTCAGCGCCCTGCAGAAGAAGATGAAGCTTGTCGAGGCTGAATACAAAGCTCAGCACTCACAGCTTAAGAAGCTAAAGGAGTCTTCTCGAACACGAGTCCTAGAACTAAAATCCAACCCTACCGCCGACGCGGAAGCTCTCAAACTAAGCACCGTACGCAACCTCCGCGAGGCCAACGCTCAGCTCCTTGACCAGCTCGAGAACCAAAAGACACCACCATCCACGGTCCCTCTAGCCACACTCGATGCGGCTAGGGACGAGCTCGAAGAACTGAAAGCCCAACTTGCTTCTTCGTCTAAGAAGATTGTACGTCTAAAACAAATTTGGACAGCGAAATCCCTCGAGTTCAGGGAAGCTGTTGCATCCATTCTGGGCTGGAAGCTGGACTTTATGCCTAACGGACGGGTCAAGGTCACCAGTATGTTCAAGCCTGCCGATGAGGAAGGGGAGAACAGCATAGTGTTTGATGGTGAGAATGGGACGATGAAGGTCTCTGGTGGAGAGCAAAGTGAGTTTGCAGGCGAGATACGCGATCAGATTGTGTATTGGGTCGAGGGGAGGAAGGAGATACCATGTTTCCTTAGCGCGCTGACATTGGAGTTTTGGGAGAGGGGCCCGGGTGGGCAGACGATGCATGGCTAGCTAGGAAGAGTTGCGGTATGTAATGAATCTGGTGGATCCGGATGTAATGAACAATTTCTGCAGCAACGGATAGCTGATTGGCAAGATGAAGAGCTTTTTCAAAACAGAATTCATCCGTCCGTGTCCAATTCTCATTTCTTCCCAAGATCATACCATGCCCAACCTCCGCATCTCCCTCTCAAACTCCTCGTTCACTACTACCCTTCGTCTCCATTCCTCCGTCTCTCTTACCCTCTGCACATCCCTCCTATCGATTTTCTTCCACCACCAAAACCAGCCCATGACCCAACACCACGCAAACGCCGCAATGACAACGAAATCATAACACAGTAGTGATATAGTCGCAGGTTGAATCCACAAAGGGTGTCTCGGTGTGCTGTGGGTGTATATCTGGATATCGGGAAGGCAAGCCGGCTCTGTTGTGGTTGTGGATGGCGGAGGTGAGGAAATTGGAGTATGTGGAGCGGTTTGGTATAGTACTACGATGGTTGTCGAGATAGGTTGTGTTGTAGCGGTAAACATTCTTGGTGATACTGCCGAAGTCGTAGTGGTTGGTAAATGAGTAAGGCATTTGAACGCGGGTAAAGTGAGCGTGGAGGTGTACGTGACGGTGATGTCCTGGGCGAGCACCAACGTGGCCCCAGTGTAGTTGGCAAGAAGATGGAGCGTAATAATAGTACGCATAATCGTAATGATGTAATCTCTTCTCCACAGCATGTCGAGCTGCGTCTGCTTCGCCGTGATGAATGGTGTTGGTAATGACTGAGGGTGCGTATTGAGCAGTGAGAGAATCATAAGAAGACAAAGGAGAGAGGGAATGGCATTGTGTTGGAATTGATATCCAGTAGACAAGAGGAAACTCGCAAATGGACATGAAACGATGGTGAGTATGAATTGGGGTGGAGGCAAACATGCTATTGTCCTTTAGCAGTGGAAAGAAGCCTATCATATGTACATGGAATTTCCCCTTCACCTCCAACGCCAAAACCCCGCTACAGCGCATATATTTTCATTATATTGTTCGTCATCATTGTGCCTTGTCCCACGGCAGGGCGAATGTAGATACCCAATCTTCAACCTCCTTCTTGAGCTCGATGATCTCGGTGATGTCCTCACCCTCGCCAACGTACTCCTTGAATGCAGCCACGCTAGTGGGATTCTTGCGACCAGTGTCTTCGGCCTTCTTCTTAGCATCCTTGTCCAACTTTTGGGTGATTCCAACTGCGCGGTGCACGACGTCGGCCACACGCTTGAAGTCTTCGGTCTGGAAGCCACGAGTTGTCATGGCGGGAGTTCCAAGACGAATACCACCGGGCTTCATGGCAGACTTGTCACCAGGAACAGTGTTCTTGTTCGATGCGACGCCGACGAGCTCCAGAACACGCTCGACTCGTGCGCCATCCACGCCGCGGTCCTTGAGGTCGACAAGGACAAGATGGTTGTCAGTGCCGCCTGAAACAATGTTGTAGCCGAGACCGCCGTTCTCCTTGGAGTCACCAAGACGCTGAGCAAGAGCCTTGGCGTTGTCCAAAACCTGCTGCTGGTAGTCCTTGAACTCTTTGGTTGAGGCTTGCTGCAGGGCTACAGCCAAAGCAGTGATGGTGTGGTTGTGAGGTCCTCCCTGGTGGCCTGGGAACACAGATGCGTTGATTGGGCCTTCCAAATCATACATCTCCTTGTTGCCCTTCTTGTCGACCTTCCGTACACCCTTGCGGTAGAAGATCATGGCACCTCGCGGGCCTCGAAGCGACTTGTGTGTTGTAGTTGTGACGATATCGGAGTGGGGGAATGGAGAGGGGATGACGCCGGCGGCCACCAGACCTGAGATGTGAGCCATATCAGAGAGAAGGTACGCGCCAACGTCGTCTGCCAGCTTTCGCATGCGCTCGTACTCGATCAACCGACTGTATGCCGATGTACCTGCAACGATGACCTTGGGCCTGTACAGATGTGCCAATTCTGACATCTTTGCGTAGTCAATGATACCGGTCTTCTCATCGAGCCTGTATGGGAGGGTTTCGTAGTATTTGGATACGGCGGAGATCTTCTTGGTAGGTGTTTGGTAGCCGTGCGACAGGTGGCCGCCATGGGGAAGGTCGAGACTGAGGATACGGTCGTGCGTGTTGAGAACGGCGGAGTAGGCGTAGAGGTTTGCGGGCGATCCGGAGAGGGCTAGAGTTGTGTTAGAGGGCGATGGTAGCATTTTTGTCGACTGACTCACGCTGGACGTTGACACCCCACTCCTCCGGGCTCAAACCGAATGCCTTGAGCGCTCTCTGTTGGCATAGACGCTCGGCCTCGTCAATGTGCTCGTTTCCTCCATAGTATCGCGCGCCCGGGTATCCTTCCGAGTACTTGTCTATCGTGCCATGTCAGCTTAGAATTGTGGTGTGAGAATGCGCAGAACGCACTTTGCATAACACTGCCGAGCGCATCGAGCACAGCTTGTGATGTGAAGTTTTCAGAAGGAATCAGGTTTATGAAGTGCTTCTGGCGGTTCTTCTCCTGTAATAAAAGTATCGTGAGCTTCGTCTTCGCATGTACAGCTTCAACATGTGGCAACGAACCCTGTTGATGATCTGGTAGACGGTAGGATCGGCCTGCTCAAGATCCTGGGAGAGAATCTAGGACTTGTTAGCATTGCCAGTCGTGAATTTCTGTCATGGCGAGGCATACCTTCTGCTGTGCATCCATACTCGTCGCATAGCCCCGCCATTGTTGCCTCTGTATTCTTGCATGGTTGGTGGCAATTGAAGCTGTGGAGCGGGAAGTGAGCTGGCGCAAAGGCGCTCTGCAGGCTGCTCTGAGGTTCGCCATAGTCTCTCAGTCTGGTAGGCAGGGCAGAAGCGTGGCGCGACCTTATAAACGTACTTGATACCAGCCGGACTCGTAGTCTCAATGAGGCAACGAAACGATGCGCCCGCTTAATCACGGAGCTACGGCGGCATTGCAGGGGTCATGGCCTCGGCGCCGATTCTCCGTTCTCCGGCGGTAAAATATGAACGCTTCCGTCGCGTGTCCTCTCTTCTTTTCTTCACGTAACTAAACCCGAGATGATATGAATGCTTTCAATTCAGCTGCATCCTCACTTGGCTGGCGCAAGCTGGCCGATGTGGGAGCTGTTGACACGCCCCGGCACCCACCACCTAGGGGGACGAAAAAATCTATGATCGGCTACGTTGCGTAGGAAGCATCTATTGATGTTTCTGTCTTCTGTTCAGCGTCGCATGGAGATGGAACACGAAATGTTAGTGTCCCTACTTCAATGCCGCTGTCGGAGCCCGTCGCCATGTATGTAGCATTCCAATGTAATCGTCAGTGTCAGAAACCATTTTCGTCGCTCTGCGTGAAGGGCGTTCTATAACGTCATAGCTACATCCCAGCATGATTACAGTTGACAACACCTTTGTGCATCCGGAACGAACAGGCAGACGATGCCCCCACAACGAGTCGAAAATACTATACACCGGCTTGCGACATAGATCTAGGATGGCGCAGCTGCATCCACACACTCTAGGTACTGTGACTCCGTCCCAGACAATGTGTTCATCACGATAGGAGCGCGGCACAGGGCCACTTGGGGCCTCTTGGAACCCGGGTCGCAATCAGATCATCAGAAGCTCTCGGGGCTTGCGAACCTAGGTCTCGTCAACGGTATGTTGGTGACAGTCTACAAGCCGCTGGACCTTTCGTAGCCATGGAAATTCACGAGCTTTGAGATGGAGCACACTGTCGCTCCTCCTCCTTCGACTAGCTGCCAAGGCTACTAGTGATAACCTCTGGAGCATTGAACCAGGAAAGCGCGCGTCGCAATGGCCGTTACTTCCTTGAACGCGCTTCTCTATCTATTGACCCCGCGTCTACTCACCTACATCATATCCTGACCGCAACCTCTGCCTCTACACGCATGCACTCACTACACCGCCATCAACTGATTGTTCGCATACAAAAAACTCCATCATGGCACTCAAACCCAAGACATCGAACCCACCTCCTCCAGCGTCATCACCTCCGGCATCACCTCATAGTCGCGATACCAGCCCGGAACTAGGCAGCCCTTCCAGGGTAACGCAATACAACCAAAAGACGGGCCGTCCTGTTCGTAAGAGCGCGGGCAAGATCAGGAGGGTTGCGGGTTACGTCGACTTTGAAGACGCCGAGTTTGACGCCTTGACCGACAGCGAGTTGAGTGAGCTGAGTGAGCTGGACGACGAAGACGACATGGATCCACTCAGTCTATCGGGCAAGAAGAAGAAGAACAAGAAGGGCGCACTGAAGCGTAAACGCAGTCCCTCGCCTCCATCCCCTCACTTAGAGCCTGTCATCAACAACCAAGAGCTTGATGACCTGACCGACAACGAAGAAGGCGGCGCCTTTCATCGAAATGACCCTAAGAAGCCACCAATGACCTTGCAGTTCAACGTTCCGCTAGGTTTTCACGGTCCACTCTTCGTTAAGCTCGATAGCACCCTCCTACACATCAACCAGCAAGGCAAATTGCATGAGATGCAGCCAGGCAAGTCGAAGAAGCTCTGTACTGTGAGCCCAGAGCAGGTGGGAACAACTGCAGTGCGTCCCAAAGGCTTCACCGATCTACCAGGCGAGCTCCGAAACACTATATATCGCCATCTTTTCGCCCGCAAGGACAAAGATTCAAGGCTTAGAATCCCCTTGAGGAGCATTGATCCCAAGAACAGCCTGACCAAGTCTGCTCAGTTTCTCAGAAGCTGTAAGCTAGTGCACAACGAAGCCTGTTCCATCCTTTATGGTGAGAACACGTTCTCTTTCCATCGTCATTACGATACACGTGGACCGTACTGGGAGCCGGTACCCAAAGAGATTGGTTATCAGGATGTTTTGCATTTCTTAAGAACAATCGGACCCGAGAACATCCAATACTTGCGCGATGTCGACTTCGTCTTCGATGATGCACGCCCCAAGGATACACCCTACGTCACCTCCAACGAGCAGCGTCGCTATCTGAACGATGACTACCTGAT